TTGAAACAGAAAATCAGAAATATAAAATTGGCAGCAGATGCCTCACAGGGAATTTAGAGCAGACCAGGACATTTTTCTGGTATAAGCTGATGCTAGGTCTCTGCTATCGTGGAGCATGAAGAAAGGAAATTGGCAACACACTAGGAGGAACTAGGAGAACTAAGCAATTGCTGAGTCACAACATCTAAATGGAAATTGTAAGCTCAGAATCACATAGGCCAGCTCTGGTATCCCAATGAGCCTGAGCTAGTGGGATTGCAAAGCAATTTACAGTGTGGAAGAAAGAAAAATGATCTGACCAATGGTGTATCTTCATTCCTTTAACAATAAGGATTTTCTATTCCATTCTGTTGACCTTGTCTTGTCTGTTATGAATCTTAGCAATAAATCTCAAGGACAAAACTAGTAACCATAGTCAACATGGGGCATTATCCTCCATTTTCCATTATAACTGTCATTCTCAGGTCTGTCTGTGCATTAAAATGACTTGGGAAATATTTTAAAATACAAATTCCTTAAACCTTTGATTCCAAATCAGAATTTCCAGCAATAATAATCATAAACTTACCTAAAAAAAATAGATAGACATATACAGTATAATTAAAGTCCTCAAGTGATTCTTAAGCCCAGCACTTTTTAAAAAGTTAGAGTTGGTAAGCAAGCTTTATCATCTTGATATATATTATTTCCACTTTTAATGGTTTTATTGAAACTATCTCAAATGTAAGCTGCCTAAAGTCCTTGGTAAAAATAGACTGAGTACAAATGAAGGTTGAGGGAAGAGGCTAAAAGAAGATAGAATATGAGAGAGAGAGAGAGAAATTAGGCAGTAACTTCAGGATCTTGAAACAGAGATGACTCTCTAACCTTTGGAGAGAGACTTGTTACCCATCTAACAAATGAAGTTAGAGACAGTTTCTCTGGGGATTTTGTGAGAAGTTCAGAGTCTCTCAAACTGTGTCACTTAATTCTTTTTTTAACTCCTTTTTTATTTTCTATAAAGTGCCTCCCAGGAAATCCCTTAAATAGGAAGACTGTTCGTTCCTTTTTGTGAAGGTGGGAAGACCACGAAGAAAGAGTCGAAAGAGAAAGATTAGACGGAATCTCAGGACGAGCTTGGCCCATGTGACTGTGTCTCCTAGCAGGGCCCTGGGAAGATGGAGGGAGATGATTCTCAGGAGCAGGGAGTAAGAACCAGGCTGCGTTAGTTTAGGTCATTCCTGTCTTGCATGGCTCAGGGGAGATGGGATGTTGTTAGTGAGAGACAAGAGCTCAAACTGGCAGCCGACTGGTTTTGATTTAATTATATAGTGCAGTAGTTTCCTAGGAGCATACAGCACATTCCCTTCTCCTAAACGTGGGTTTAATGTTCAACAAAACACTTCTCGCATAAACAGCATGTTGTTTCTAAACCCTTATTGCCATTCCCAGAACTGCTTGCAGCCTTTCAGAAACCCATTATTTTATAATTATAATCAAGACTATTAGGACAGGACAATTTGTGCCAAAAAGCCCATTTACACTCAGAATTGTCACTTAGCACTGTCACAAGGAGGTATCATCTCTATTTCTGTAGAAATCAAGAATAGCAGACATTGCTTTTTAAACCTTCAATTTCTAAATGGCTGGAGTTATTGACCTTGTTTAGACTATCTTCCAGTCACTTCTCTGGCTGCTCCTGGCAGAACAGGCGGGACACCAAGGCAGCTGTTATATGGTGCAAAGAATGCAGCCCTGGGAATCAGGCCCACTTGGCTTCACACCCTAATTCACTCCTGTCCAATTGGGGATTTCACTCTTTGCCCCTCAGTTTCTTCATCTGAAAAATGGCACAGCTACCAATACTTGCCTGTTTAATTTTAGCAAGTTAATTAATGCACAGATTAGAGCAGTGGGTCATTGCTATAAATGCAGAAAGAGCTGGGATTCTTTGGACGGACCTGTTGGCATTGGAGCCTCATGGGAAAGAATTTACTCCATCAGAAAAGACAGTTGAAGTAGGAGAGGCCTAGTCCATCACTGTTGGAGAAAACAGTTTCAAATACCTGATGCCTCTTACAGCTCATCCTTCAGCCTAACACCCATCCTTCAGTTCAACCATCATACCTGGTTCTAGAGTTGAGCCCTGGCTATAACAATGATAAATAAAAATAAATAGCAGTAACATTCCAATTTGTATATTAAATAAGGGGAAGGCATTAGAGAAACCATCTTTCATAGTTAGTTGGCTTTTAATATCAGTGACTGGGTTTAAATGCAAGCTCTGCCATTTACTACCTGTGTGACTTTGAATACGTTACTTACAGTTCCAAAGCCCATTTCCTAGCAGATAATAACACTGATATTACTAGTGCCCATCTCATAGGCATGGTGTGAGTATTTAAATCAGATGGCATACATAAAGCAGGAGAAGAGGACCTAAAAATAACCATTAAAGATAACTATTATAAGGGAAGTCCTTTTCCCCACTTCTGCAAAGTAACTTTTGAAATACTTGGAATTAAGGAACCACATGGAAGAAGTGGTTGAGAAAATGACAGACAACAGCAGGAATAAGGGACAACTGTGGATGTCAAGAGCTCTAAAACTACAGCAGTGTGGGGAGTTGGGAGCCTTGTCTGGGAAGCACAGAGGACAGCATTCCCTGTAAAGGTGGTTCTTCATGAACTCATCAGTTCTTCAAATAAACAGATGCTGACTGCGGACCATCGGGCTCCGGGCTGGGGAAGCAAAGGATGAACAGACGCGCTCTCTGTCCTCACAGAGCTCTGCCATTCTTGTGAGTGCCTGTAGGACCCTCTAGAATCCTGTTGGTTGTTTCTAGGAAGGCTAGGTAGTCCAGAAGGAGGCCGCGGTTCTGACGACCCCATGGGTGCAGGCCAAGTCAGAAAGTAACTATCTGGTTACAGTCATAGGCCTTCTGTGGGCCCACAGGTTGGGAAAACAACAATTGCTAAAATGCTGTTATGAGACATACAAATAGTATTTCCTCCTTATGTCATCTTTATAAAGTCCCAAAGGATCACTCACCCCTACAAATCGTGTACCTTATATTAAACATATATTATTTTAAATACAACAGCCTTACAGAGTAATAGTCCACCCTCTTTGTGTGTTTAAGTTAAGCAGAGAAGTGAAGCCCAAGGCATGCATGGGAAATAGTGAATGTGAGTTTCGGCTTTCTCCAAAAGCCACACTATTTAAAAATATCCCTCTGGAGTTTGGATGAGAAATAGTATGTTTAAGCTTACTCTTGGTGTATTTCTCTCCTCCTTTTGTTCTTCACCCAGATTTTTAAATTATTATTGATTAAACTTATTGTTCATGTATGAGCATGGTTGAATCTCTTTCATGTCCTTCATGGAAAGAAATGGGCTATAAATAAACCATTCAGTATATATAATATATATACATATGCATTTGCCTAATGATTCATGTTTTCAGTGAAAAACCCTTGACAAGTGTCAGCCACACAGAGAATTGCCAGGGTTTCACTTCCCGTGTGCCAGCATTAAGCGTGAAGCAACAGGGTATAGTGGAAAGTGCGCTGCCCCGAGAAGCCCAGCGGCCCACGTGCAGGCCCGGCCTCTCGTCTATTCGGTGGCCTCCTGACAACACACTTACTCCCTTGAACATCAGGTTTCACATCAGTAAAATGGGGAAGCTACTTCTTAGTCTGCTACTTCACCTGGATAACAAGAGATTCAAATGTGGTTCTAATTGTGTCAATATGTTCCACTTTGTAGGGTATTATACACATATAAGGCTTTCTAATTATATTAATTTCTCTGTTCTACCCTTCATGTCTCTTTAATCCAGAGAATTTCAGTGGATTCAAAAACCTGACCCTGGGCCTAACTTTCCTCTTTCTTTCCCTTCTGCTTCTGTCATATCATTTCTTTCCTTTCTCATCTAACCTCACTCTGTTTTTAGAATTCCCATCTGGGAGAAGGGGCTTATGGGAAAGAAGCCTGTATACAGGAACCACCCCAGTCATATTTTGATTTTCCTCCTTGGAGTATTTTCTGTTTGCTTAAACTAAAACACAAATGCAGGCATGTACTCAAATATAAGCCTGAGTACACTTCACGTATGGCCTGGACATACACAAGGGCAGACCTTCAAGCTATGCAGAATCTAACGTTGGCACTTGTGTTTAAGCAATCACGTACAAACACAAGAGTACAGAACTCAAACAGCTGAAGACATCCACATCAAATGTGCACATCCCCTCTTGCCATAGAAGCACTCTTGTCCCTGCAGACATGATCACACAGACATACATCATCTTCATACACACAGACACAGCCAAGAACACATAGAGGCATGTGCACAAATACATGCACTAGCACATTAAGACCTAGAAACACACCCAGGCATGTCCAGCAACTGCAGCCATGCTCAGACCAAAATATACCCTCTAACACACTCAGTCACAAACACATTCCTACCTGGGGCCATATTTCCAGCTTTGACAACTGCCTTTTCCAAATGTCCTCATTGCTTTCTTTGAATGCACCATTCTGGGAAGTCTGAGTGAGTATGCTTTTCTGAGAACTCACCTTACCATGAGCTGCCGTAACCCCAGGAACGTATTTCCTCAGTGAGAATATCTGCTCTTTCGTAAATGTGGTCACAGAGTAGAACCCAAAAGGAAGAACAATGTGTGCTCCCCGCCTTGAACCATTTCACAGTCCCCTGAGGGATTCAGTGACCCATCAAACAATGCAGTCATTTGATTCAGGAGGAACCTTTGCTTCAGCTCCTGTCATCTGGTCACCCTAGCTGTGCCAGCACATGTTTTTCTGGGATCATCACAAAGTGCTGAGCTCCTGAGGCCACCCTGCCCTTCCCCCGGCCTAAACTGCTCGTTCTGAGACCAGGAAGTTGGACATCTCTTCCCCATTACAATAAGTACTATTTTTAACCAAATTATTTTAATGCCACCTTTATGACAATCATACCTTACCTAGTAGGTAATATATTTAGAATGACATCAAGTGACAAAGTGACAGAGTGCATTTTACACATTTGCTTAAAAGATAGTGGTAAATAATGTATATTTCCAGCATGTCTCTAACAACCTCATTTAGATCAAAGTTTATAGGGAAGGCGTGTAAAATGAGAACTGAATTTTTACAAACCAAATATATCAGGGACTATTAGTAAATAGAATATGCTAAAAAATAAATAAATAAATAAAAAAGACCAGGATGTTTGTGAATATGTGTTAGTCAGGTTTCCTTAGGAAATTGTTGCAAGGTTTTAACCTTTGTAACAAAACTAACTTGAAGTGGAGGGAGGATCAGAATCATCACCATGTAGAATTTAAATTGCATCCCATAGAAAATGGAAAAGTGAACAAAGGCCCAGTTTAGTTGAAACTACCACAACTGCTGTGTTTTAAGGTGGCCACAATGTAAAATATAAGGTGATTTCCATTCAAAAGGCTCAGGAGAAGACTTATATCCTTTTCTGATGTCGCTGGGGCCAATCTCTTAGTTGTAATTCAATTATATGAGGTAAGAGTTGAGTCGACTTTCTCGGTCATGAATACCTTAGGTGAGTTGAGGGAAACATCCACCTGAAGGTTCTCTATTTCAGCACAGTATTTATTCCCTTTGCACTATGAACCCCATGAGATTGGCAGCCCTGTGTATCTTGTGTACCACTGAATCACCTTCCCTGAGTGCAGTGCCTGCTATTTTGCAGCTTTTAATACTTGTTCACTGAACAAGTAGTGGGTCCACCTGGGCAAGAAGCGCCTGAGGCCTGTTTGCTCTCAGGTGCAGGTTTTTGCTTCATGCTGGCTGTTTTCTGCACTCTCTGTTCCTTCTGGACTCCATGATTTACCATCCAGCAAGGCTTTTCTGAGTCGTCTCCAGAAGATGTGCCGCCCCAGGGCACTGTCTTCCCACTCCAGGTAAGTGTTCCTGCTGAGAAGGCGATACAGCTCCACCTGCTGCCGGAGCAAGGACTTGTCCAGCTTCTGCAGGACGATGAAGATGATGCCTGCGTGACTGCTCAGAAACTGCCAGGTCTGGGCAATCTCATACTCAAAGATGCACCAGCGGCTCTGGATGAAATGCTGGGACACTACAACAATAACCTTCCGGCTTTTGTGGAAACCTTCCTGGATGATGTTAGCAGCGATGGCCACACCAGGAATAAAGTCTCTGTAGTGAAGGCAGAGCTGAAAGGGGGGCACCCCCTCCTCCAAGTTCTTTACCAACTCATTCCTCACCCAGTCCTCATCCTGGCTTGAGTAGATAACAAAGGCATCATAGGTGCTTTCACCTTGACCATACTTTTTGCAGCCAGCCAGGAGCATCAGGTGGAAATAGAACTTATAGATCAGAACTGCTACCACAGATACCACGAGTACAGAGAGAACTGACAAACTAATGATAGTCTTGCTCATCTGACAGGTGGCATTTCTAAAACTGAGCACAGGCATACCCAGCATATCTAAAGGTTGCGCACACATGATTTGTTCAACTCCCACCAAGAGCTGCCGGTGGTCCTGGACCCACTGCAGGAAACTCATGTATTCACAAACACAAGCCAAATCATTGTGAGTAAGATTTAAGGAAGCTAGGCTGCTTGGAAAATATTGTAGTTCTTGACTCCTGGCAGTTGCTATATGATTAAAACTGTAATCCAAAACCTGGAGGGGGAGATGTTTATAAGGAAGTATATCCAAAAATAAGAGGTTGTTGTAACTCATATTTAGCGACCAAAGTTTAGTGAGTGAGCTAAATGCCTCCTGGGACACTCGTTTCAGTTGACACTTAGAGAGGTCCAGGAAGGTCAAGTTTGTCAGGTCTCTGAAGATATTTGGAAGGAAGTCATCCTCAAAATAATTACCAGCCATTTTCAAGACTTGGAGGCTGACTAAGCCATCAAAGATTCCATGAAAGACAATTTGTGTGTTAGTATAAGAAATATCAAGGTAAAGGAGGTTTTTCAGTGATAGGAATACTGAAAAAGCACTGGCCTGTCTCAAATTGGAATACTGGAAATCCAGATATTCTAGTTGCTCTAGGCCCAAGAAGTTTGAACTCATGGTAATAACATCATTGAAGCTCAGATCCAAGTGTTTCAGTCTGGTTGTCCCAAAATTAGTGTGAGAACAGCAACCCTTGAAACTCAAGTAATTTCTACTAAGATCTAGAAACTCGAGCATTGGTAGATTAACTTGAGAGAAAAAGGCCATACCTTTGTTTTCAGTGAATACAAACTCTTTGAGAAAAGCAAGATCTAGTTGGGGCAAATGTTTAAATCTACAGTTAGACACTTTTAAGTATTGCCATTTGGAATCTTTAGGAGGAGCTCCTAACCTGTCTAAAAACACATTCACCAGAGAAATTGAGGAAGCATTTGCCAAACAATTTAAAAAGCCAAGATCATCCTCTGGGAAGTCCTTAAAGTATGCTAGTCGCAATTCTTCAGCCGTCAAATTGCACAGTCCTTCCAGGGCAGATTTGTCAAACTCTTCTATGTTCCTTTCATTGCCAAATTCTCCCAGAACAAGTCGATTGATTTTTAAATCAGCCAGACCTTGAATACAAGTTTTCATTACATCTGTACTATTAAAATTACTTCTCAAAGTCAGTTCCTGGAGTTTAATTTTTTCAAAGGCACCTGGTTGAATAAAGTCTAAAGGGTTGAGGGATAAGTCTAAAGAGAGTTTGAATGGGGGCAGTTGATGTAGAACCTGCAAGTCTCTACGATAAATATTTTGTATCTTGTTCTTGGAAAGGTCCAAGTACTCCAGGTTAGGCAGGTTAGAAAAATATTCGGGTAACTTGAAGGAATCAATAAGATTGTGAGCCACATTGAGCTCCTTCAAGGTTTTCAGATGTCCAATGGGGAAGTCCTCTAGAGATGCCAGGTTTGTCTCCACAGCCACCAGTGTCTGTAAACTTGATAGTCCAGAAAAGGCTCCCATGGCTAAACTCTGGATCGGGTTTCCCGTCAATATCAAGGTGGAGAGATGGTTTAGGCCTTGATATGCATTATCTGCAATCATCTCAATTTCACACCTACAGGAAAAACAGATATAGATTATATGTGTCTGATGAGTAGAAAGCCCAAAATGGAAAAACAGCCCCAGTCATCTAGCTCTTCACACAGCTTAGACATTCCATATGACTGTGATAGGCAAAGACATCAAACAAATCAATGAGGGCCATGAACAAATAAGAAGCTTCATAGCCTTAGTATTATCATACTAGTCACAGTGACAATGTTTTTTGTCACACTAGGTATACATCTTAAGCACATCCATCAGAAGGAAATTAGTTAAAGATCAATAATTGGGGCACACAAAGAACATATGGCTGATAGAGTATATAATAGCCTTGGATCAACTTTAGCTATTCCCTGCCACAGGTAACTGTGATCATACATCAGATTGGTACAGATGATACAGATAGTTGTTAGTTGTCAGGCAGGATAAATGACTGTTGAAATGTCAATTTCAAAAATATTAAGAAATTATACTTAAGTGCCGCAGATACCCTTAGTGTTGATGAAAGGTTGTAGATATCACAGATAAATGTTAATAACAGGAAATAGGAGTGAGTTTTGTGGAAAAAAAGTCTGCTAGGAGAGATTACATCCAGAGAGCAGACTTAGACAAAGGTGATCAAATCAGGCTTCTCTGAGAACACTTAAGTTGAAATTTGTGAGATGAGTAGGGATAAACAGGGAAAGGAAGTGGACTTCCAGCCAAGATGGAAGTGTAGGTAGATATACTTTAACTCCTCACACAACCAAAAGAAAGACAACAACAAATTTAAAAACAAAAAATAACCAGAACTGCCAGAAAATCGAACTGTATGGAAGTCTGACAACCAAGGAGTCAAAGAAGAAACATTCATCCAGACCAGTAGGAGGGGCAGAGACAGGCAGCTGGGGGCAGAGAGGATGCGCAGCAAGGCAACAGCTGGCGGACCTGGCAGTCCCACATTTGCATGCGGATAAACCAGGAGGAACAGCTGGGGAGTGAAACAGACCATGCAACTCAGGATTCCAGCACAGGAAAAGAAAGCCTCAAAACCTCTGAAGGTAAAAACCTGTGGGGGATGTGGCAGTGGGAGAAACTCCCAGCCTCACAGGAGACACAAACCTACACACCCAGGAACCAGCACCAGAAGTGACTGAAAGCCAGCTGAGAATGGAGAAAACAGCATTGTTCCCTCTCAGACCCCTCCCCCACACACAGCATAGCAATGCTGTGTGAGTTGCCCCACCCTCATAAATACCTAAGGCCCCGCCCCTTCCAACCTAACAGGCATGCAGAGACAAAGAAATATGGCCCAAATGAAAGAACAGATCAAAGCTCCAAAAATAGAACCAAGCAGATGAAGAGATAGCCAGATGCACAGTTCAAAACACTAAAACTCAAGATGCTCACAGAAATGGTTGAGTATGGTTGCAAAATGGATGAAAAAGTGGAGGCTATGCAAACTGAAATAAAGAAAAATATACAAGGGATCAACAGTAAAGGGAAGAAAACCAGGACTCAAATCAATGATTTGGAGAAGAAAGAGATAAAATTCAACAGCACAGAATGAAGAAACAAAAATTCAAAAAAATGAGGAGAGGCTTAGGAACCTCCAGGACAACTTTAAACATTCCAACATCCAAATCATAGGCGTGCCAGAAGGAGAAGAGGAAGAGCAAGAAATTGAAAACTTATTTGAAAAATAATAAAGGAGAACTTCCTCAATCTGGTGAAGGAAATAGACTTCCAGGAAGTTCAGGAAGTTCAGAGAGACCCAAAGAAGTTGGACCCAAGGAAGCACACACCAAGGCACATCATCATTACATTACCCAAGATTAAAGATAAGGAGAGAATCTTAAAAGCAGCAAGAGAAAAGGAGACAGTTGCCTACAAAGGAGTTCCCATAACGCTATCAGCTGATTTCTCAAAAGAAACCTTGCAGGCAAGAAAGGTCTGGAAAGAAGTATTCAAAGTCATGAAAGGCAAGGACCTACATACATCTAAGATTACTCTATCCAGTAAAGCTCTCATTTAGAATGGAAGGGCAGATATAATGCTTCCCAGAGAAGGTCAAGTTAAAGGAGTTCATCATCACCAAGCCCTTATTATATGAAATGTTAAAGGGACTTATCTAAGAAAAAGATGAGCAAAAACTATGAACAGTAAAATGACAACAAACAACTATCAACAACTGAATCTAAAAAACAAAACAAAAAAATATATACTAAGCAAACGACTAGAACAGGAACAGAATCTCAGAAATGGAGATCGGAGCGGAGGAAGAAGGGGGAGAAAGGGAGAAAATGTACTGGGAATTAGCAGCATGAATAGTAGGTATAAAACAGACAGGGGAAGGTTAAGAATAGTATAGGAAATGGAGAAGCCAAAGAACTTATATATACGACCCATGGACATGAACTAAAGGCGGGGTGGGAATGCTGGTGGGAGGGAGGGTGCAGTGCAGAGGGGAATAAAGGGGAGAAAAAAAATGGGACAACTAATAATATAATCAATAACATGTATATGTATTAAAAAATAAAATAAAAATGAAAAAAAAATAAATAGAATTTAACAGTTACAAACGTGGGTTCACATCACCATGGTTAAAATGCCAGCTTTTCCCTTTACCAAGTGCATGACCCTGGACATGTTAACAATACTTTTAAATCTTGGTTTCCTCGTGTAAACTTATGAGCACCTACTGGTTTTAAAGCTGAAAACAGGGCCTTACACACAGAAAGCACTTCATAACTATTAGCTATTACTAGTGTAACAAGATTAAATTGCATTATTTCCTGTTATGTTCATAGTATATATCATATATCAATGATATAATTACATACTTTGTATTATGTGTCATAAATTATATGTTTGTATTATATGTATCATTGTTATAATATACTTATTATCATAAGCATTCAATACAATAAATGTTTAATGGGAGGAAAAAAACAAGGAAAGGGAAGTGAACAGAACAGCAGATACAAAAGCCTCTACTTAGGCGGCAGCCACCCTGCAGGGAGGAATCAAGAGAAACTGCTTCTTTGTCTGGAGCACACAGAGAAAAGGGGAGGGGCATGAGATAGGATTATGGAGAAAGGAGGTTCAAATAAGGTCTGAAGCTTTGTGACCAGAAAAAGGACCCAAGTGAAATGGAAGCCATGCTATAAACAATGTTCATAGACGTGTCCTAGAGATACAGCTTTTAGCCAGCCAACAAACAGGGAGCTAATGGTCAACTCTTGCTGGTAGAGCAAGTGCCTGACAGTTACAGTTTTGCAAATGTGTTCTTTCCGGTTCCAACAAAATTACATTTCTAATGGTCCTACTTGCCCTGTCCCCTTCAAGAGGTTCATGGGTAATAAAAGCATTTCAGTTCAAGCCTTTATTATTGATTGGGAAAGGGATGGAGGGTAAAGGGTGCAGTAGAAAGGACAATGGTCCAAGAAATGTGGGTTCTGGTATCTCTGCTTGTCCTTTTGTACAGCATGACCTTGGGATCTCCTTTTCCCCTCTAGGCATAAGGTATCACATTTCTAAATGAGGCAGCTAAACATGATTGTTTCTCAAGTTGGTTTTAGTTATATGATCTTACAGCCTGTAATCTTACGTATATTATCACTCCATGCATCAAGCAAGGCTAGAAGAGTCTTGCTGTGTCTCTCCCTCATCAAAGGGTGCCCACCACTTTAGAGAAGTATAGAGTACTAAGATGAAGAAAGCATTGAGCTTGGAAGCAGGAGAGGTGAACTTGAATCTCTGCTCTGTATTCAACAAGATACATGAACATAGATAAATCACTTAAACTCTCCAAGCCTCAGTTTCCTTGTCTATAAAAAGAAAAATGCATCAATAGGTTTCTAGAGAAAGAAAAAGGCTTCTTGGCCCATTGCAAAGCATCCTTAGAGAACTAATTGAGTTATTGTATGTGAACATTATAAAGCAACATGAATAGGCAAAGAATATCTATTATACTATCATTTGCCCTTGCCAATAATTCAAAACCTCCTACTGGCTAGCCGGAGGGGAAGCTAGCCTCTCTCTGAGCACATATTTAAGGCTCTGAGTGAAGTTCCTTGGGTAGGTGATAGATCAAAGATGAATTATAAGGGACATTGTTTGATAAGAAACTACTTACTTAAAAAAATGGGGGAGGGTTGATCAGTTGACCTCAGTAGAGTTCTTGAGAAGATTCTTAGTGAGGAAACCAAACTTCAGAAAGTAATGAAATGCTATAATAATAATAGTACTTTATACTTATAAAGTCTCCATTACTAAGGTTTTTTAATAAATATAGCATGTTAACATTCATTATCACATTTAATCCTATGAGGTAAGTTTCATCATTTCTATTTCACAGAGATGAAAACTAAGACTCAGGGAGAGGAGGTGGCATGCCTCAGGCCATGTGGCTATAAATGTTGGTGGAGGACCTGGCTCAGGTCTTCTGACCCCGCAGGGCTCTGTAAACGACACCACTGCCTTTAAAATGCCCAGGGTTTCCTTTGATATACTCTATCATAAAGTTGGAGTGGAGGACATCAGATGCTTATTCTTTTACAGAAATAGCTACTCTGCAAGAGTATTTTCATACTATGCTGTTAGTCTTTATTAGGACTTTGCATAATAAAAAGCCATATGTGAAATGTTTCTCTATTTTTTCACAAACTGTTAACAGAGAATATGGTTCATTACCTAGTCCACTAGCTAAACAGAGTTCATTATTTTTAGTAAGGCTCCTAACCAATTTTAAGATTCACTTCCCCCACCCCAAATAATGATAACTGAACCTGCCCTAATGAATGATACAGACCTGGCATCAGAAAAGAAAATCTTAGTCACTGTTCACTGCCCACAGCAGATGTTTTCCTTTGATCTTGTCATCTTTCTCCTTAGGTTACTTGTAGCTTCCTAATTCACTATCCTCTACTTCACTTTCAGTATTCCAGACATTATTTGAATACTACTCAGTTCTTGAAATCTGTCATGACTATTCAATGCAGAGAAGACCGCTCTTGTGAAAAATACAATGTGTTACCTCTAGTTTTCACATAGCTTATCACCTACTGTTATACTTTGCTGTCCTTATCTTGGGTTCAAAATCCACAATCAAAATCAGTGATATTTGTTGAATGTCTAGTATGTGCCCAGCACCATGCTCAGGATTTTAACATTAACTCTTCCAAGTGGATATGCCCTTCTTGATAATTGCGGTTAACTATATATTTTTCTAATAAAATATGTATGTATAAAATATATATGTGTGTATATATACACTTTATCTGTGAAACTGAGAACAGTAGATGGCAGATAGCTTGCCCAAAGTTATATAACAATTATGACATCTATTGAATAAATGAATAAGTGAATGAAATGACAGAACAATGAACATTTTACTTTGTGCAGTGTCTAAAAACTCATTCATTACCTGGATAAATCCAGCACCTGCAGTTCTGGGAAGCTGGAGAAGCTATGGCTGCCTAAACACCTCAGGGGGTTAAAGCTCAGGTCCAGTGTCGTGGTTGACTTGGAGATGTTACCAAGGATTTTGTAGAACTTCAGCTCCATGCACTGGTAAGTAATGTTAGGAGCCACCTGCAATGATCAGGCATTAGTTGCAGTCTCTTACTGTATGCACTTCAACAGACCTTTCTCCTCCCCTAGGCCAAAGTCTGAGAGGCCTCTAGTATAAGCACAGGGACCAATTAATCTCCTTTCATCCGTTCACCATCCATTCATCCATCCATCCATCCATCCATTTAGCTACTCACTTCACACTTATATAACATCTTACTCTAGATTAAGAAGGGAAGAGCACCTACCATGTACCCAATATTCTAACCTCTACTATAATAATAGCAGCACTTACCAAGAAGCATTTGAGTCAAGTGATGAAGAGCTGAGGCTCTCGAGTCCAAAAGCGTGGGATTTCACCTCAGCTCCTCCATGTGATTTAGGGCAAGACCTTGTTATCTAAGTAACACCCCATTTTATATCGCCTAGGGAGACTGCCAGTCAAAGTGTCCAGACTTTCCTTAGCCATAGCCCAATTTTTGTCAATTGCTTCTCTCCCTTGGCTTAATGACTTTTGAGCAGGTAATAGAGAAATTGAGAAAGAAATCTTTGGAGTGCATGGACTCCAGTGGTGGAAACTAGTAAATAATGTCAAGTGCTTTTTGCTGCCTTGGTTCCTGTGCTGGTTTCTATTACATTCTCTCAAATACTTTGTATGCTTTGTTCTCTAAAATCCCATTTAATCTCTGAATTCTTTAAACATGCAATACCTGACTATTTAGTCAGGGGCACTGACCTCTTTTCCATTAGATTGTCAAATTAAATGGAAGATTTAAAAAAAAAAAAGGACAAGTGAAAACAACAATAGCCATCCAGTGCAAATGAATCAAAATTATACCTATTTTTTGGTCAGGTCAGCAAAAAGTATGTTTTTTGGTGTGCCACAGGATTGTAGTAATTAGTTTGTGTGTGCTTTGAGATGAAAAAGGTTGAAACTTGCTGCTCTAACAAAATGTCTTGCTTAAGCCAACTAATTTTGACTTTCTGTTGTTAAACACCAACAGAATCTCTTAAAAGGATTAAATGAGATAAGGTATTTAAAGAGATTATCTTAAAGCCAATTACAGTGTAAATGATCAATAAATGTTAACATTTACTATTATTAGCTGTTATTAATTCCTTACTATATACCAGCTTATTTGTTGTTACACACTTCCATTTAATTTTCAAATAAACTTTTTAAAGAAGAATTCAGAGAGTTAAAAGAACATGCATGAAGTCTCACAGGCCCTGTGTGCAGGTCCTCACTTTATTCACGTCTGTCTAAATGTTAATCAGAGCCTCACAGACCACACTATCTAATAGAGGGAGGTGCCAGGCACCCTGCTCTTACCCTCTTCTACCCTCCTGCATAGGATATATCACCACCTAACATTATGCTGTCCATATGCTTCTTTCATATGTATTGTGCATCTCCCTCATTGGGTTGCAAGGTTTGATGGTCTTGTGCTCTATGTCTCCAGCACTCAGAATGGTGTCTGGAAAGTGGCAGATGTTTAATAAATATTTGTTCAGTGAGTGAATGAATAACTGATTGGATGGAGGTTTGTTTAAATCTCAGTTGTAGGTATTTTGTATTTAGTGTTTAGAACAGTACAAAGGCCAGCATGATGTGGCTCCAGACTTCAGTGAACTCACCATCTGGAATAAGGGTTAAAACAGGAGCACAACTCACTACTGAAGGGGCCTATAAACCAGGCTTGCAAAATATTTCCTCTGGTTCAGAAAATGGAGAGATCAATTATGGTTCAGAAAATATGGAGATCAATTCTGCATCCAGGGATAGTAGAAGGCTCTTGAGAAAGAGAAGCTTTCAAGGTTGGTCTTAAAGGATGTGCAAGATTTGGATACATGGAAAGAGGGAGACGAAGAGAGCAGTGTGTCAGGCGGCCTGAAAGACTGGTTTACATCAGCTGGCACGTGGAAGGAGCTGTGAAACCCCGAGCCCAGGGGGAAGCCAGGCTGGGATAAGGAGGCCCTTATACTTTGTCTTGTGGAAGTACTTTTAAGTCATTTGACACAGAAATTGTGCAACTACTGTGTGCTAGGAACTGAGATACAGTGCTAAATAAAACCAGCAATGACCTTGCCCTCTTACAGTTTCAATTTCAAAGGGAAAGAAAATGAACAAATGAGCAACACATATATAATGGTGTGCTATCCAAAACAGCAAAAAAAAAAACTAGAGGAAAATACGGGGGTGGGAATCTGTAGATAAAGTGATCAAGGAGGACCACCCAGAGGAGGTGACACTGAAGTGAGGATTAAGTCATGAAAATTTCTCGGCTGCCTTGTCCAACATGGTAGCCACTAGCCAGTCACCCAAGGCTACTGAGCATGAGAAATGTGGATAGTCTAAACTGAGATGGCAAATGTAAAATATATACTAAAGACAGCACCAAAGAAAGAATGTAAAATATCTTATTAATGCTCATAGTTTATAATAAATTACATTTTGAAATAATATTTTGAATATACTAGGTTTTAAAAGCTGTGTTTTAAATTTAGTTAAAATTTACTTAGTTAAATGTATTATTTAAATTTAAGTACTATCATGTGGCCCACATTATATTACCAATGGGCGGCACTGATCTAGGGGGAAAGCATTCTAGCTAGAAAAAGTAGCCAAAGGCCCAGTGCTAGGATACAGTCCTGATAGCAATGGAGAGCTATTGGGTTTTTAAAGGGGTAATTTGTTAGAGCCAAGTCTCTGGAAAAAACAACAACGAATAAACAACAAACAAAAACGTGCAGAGTGGATTAAAGGAAGGGGCTATGGACTTAGGAGACTAGTCACCGTTCAAGAGTCAAGGCCAGGGGAACTGAGGACCTGCCTAGGTTGGCACAGACGGGATGGGCAGGCATTGGAGACAGAAAGACTATAAAGCAGGAGGAGAAGGAGGATCCAGAAGTGCGTGTAGTTTTATCCAGGGTGACCCAGGTTAGAAGATCTCTTCCCCTCAACCTAACAGCTACAGAGCCAGAGAGGGGGACAAGGGGTAGGGCTGTGGGCAGGGAATTGGGGAAATAGAGGACTCCAAGATAACAAATTCATCGCTGTTACACATTAAAATCTATTATTTCCCCAAGGTCCTTCGTTTCAGGACTCTGGCTTGTTATACTTTTGTTGAGTTCTGACTCCGCCAGCACCTTAAATCCCAGGACATTCCCTTGACTCTCTGCCCATTATTGTGGGGTTCCAAAGCAATTGTGAAAACAAGAGATCCATCATGAATGTGATTATGAAACAGCTGGTTGATGTTTCATGAGAAGAAAGCATTGCATTAGCTGACATTTTACGTCTTTCTCTTTTTTTCCCTTCATCTCTTTCTCCCACTTTCTCTATTTTCTGTTTCTTCCTTTTTAAGTCTCTTTTCATCCTTTGGACAGAACTATGACTGGATTCAGAAGTATGAAATCCACTTAGAAAGTTTCTTCTGTTAAAAGACAAAAAAACCAAAAACCAAAAAACATCTCCCTGAGATTGAAACGGGTAAAGTGACTGCTTGAAGCTGAGGGCAGACCACCAGCAGAAAGAAATGACAGGAAGCAGGATTCTTACAACTCTCTATTGAAGTAGGTGTTATTATCATTCTTTTAGAGACGTGAGAACTTGTCTCAGAGAGGTTTTACAACTTTTTCAAGGTTACGCAGCCCAGAAACCTAAGAGCAGTGATTTTAAGCAGGTCTGTCCGACCTAAATTCTTAGATGGGACACGGTATGGGCTGCTTGTTAGTGCCTTATAACCAGAATTATTTGATCCCTGTGGCTTCTCAAGACTGTAAGGTAATTTGACTCCTTTTTAGAAATGAAACTAACCAGAGCCCACAGCAGGAAGTTCTGGGCAAAGGGCAGTTTTTCAGAAACAAGACAAAGTACCTAGGAGATGAACTGACCCCGAACACATACCTGCACGTAAGGGTCCCAGCTCTCGGGTCTCAGGCACGAGAGGAAGGCCATGGCTGGGATCAGCATCCCAGCCAGGTGGGCAGGAGGCATCATCCTGGCATTTTCTGCGACCAGAACCGGCCCTGCAAAAGGGCGAGCTGTAACCGCCTTCCCCAGGCAGCCTCGGGGCACTGCTCTCTTCTCTCCCACACTCCGTGCCCCACAGCAATTACTGTATTCAAAGCAGCGCTGGGTTAGGGTCAGGAGGAAGTGAGAGTGGCAACCTTAGCGTTCTGGACTTTTGTTTCTCTAATATTTCTCTCCCCTGTCTCAGGAGGGGAAGTTAGAAAAAGAAGCAAACATCTGCAGACCAGTGGTTGGACGAACAGCAAGAGGAAGCTGGCTGTTATCCCAGTAAATCATCTGATTGCTCAGTGTTCAAGAACTTAGGAAAGTAGTCAGACTGGTCAGTCTGTATAACTATCAAGGGCGGTGGCTTTCCTATAAGGTGTAAGTAGTGGAAACTTACTGTATATGTTCACTTCCTAGGGCGGCTGTAACAATGTATCACAAACTGGGGGGGCTTAAACAACAAATTTACTTTTTCCACAAAGATCTGGCAGCAAGAAGCCTGAGACCGAGGGGTCAGAAGGGTTGGCTACTTTTCAGGCTCTCTCCTTGGCTTATAGATAGAAGGCCATCCTCTCCCTGGGTCTTCACACGATCTTCCCTCTGTGTGTTCCTGTGTCCTAATTTTCTCTTCTTAGAAGTACACCAGTCATATTGGATTAGAGCCACCCATATGACCTTATTGTACCTTAACTGACTTTTTAAAGTAACTTTATCTCAAAATACTTCCACCTTCTGAGGTGTGGGGTTAAATCTTCAGCATGTGAATGGGGGGTGAGGAGGGGCAAAATTCAGCCCATGGCTCCATCCAGCCTTGGGGAGAAACTCATGTTTATGAAACTGATGGAAAATAAAGCTCCAGGGAGACATAGTTTGAAAAGTACAGAAACGGTAGGAAAAGATTAGATTGAAGAATTAAATATACTGAAATTCAAATGCAGAATGGGCGATTTATGGCCTTACATCATTGGTCAAGTCATTTAAACTATCAAGCCTTAATTTCTGGTCCGAAAAATGGAATAATAGTTTTAACCACAACAGAAGCTGAAATTTATGAAATCCATAGACCTAAAGCCATGTGACAACAGTCAAATGATATAAGCCATTAAGCCTTACTTTTTTGGTCTTTAAAATAATTTGTTTTGCATGATTGAATTAAGTTAATTTACATGAAATGCCTAGTCTAGGGCATAGTTCATCGGTATATTTCATAAATCGGTAGCTGTTGTGATGATTAAAAGTATGAATAAAATGGGAATAAATATGTACCTCAAAGGATTGTCACAGGGTTAAATAAATTGGTATTTGTAAAGCTTTTAGGACAGTGCCTGGAATGTTGCAAGTACAATGTAAATTTCTGTAAAATGAGTACATAGTTTAAAATGGGGATGTTATCTGGTATTGTGTTCTAGATAGTTTTATCAAGGTGTCCTGCAGTACCCCAAATCCAACGTATCTGAAATCAGGTTGTGAGGGAGCATGTCATAGGGGACTGAGCACAGGCTCTTGTGGACATCTTCAACACAGCTGTAAAATTAAGCTAAAAGAGTCCGCATGTCAAAACTCTGCTTTAAGGATTAATTGCAACCATACTAAAGTCTCAGAGAAGCACCTGGCCCAGAGTAGGTGCTCAATAAAGTTTCGTTCTCTGGAAAGTTAATACCATTTCACTTCAACATAGTCACCCCAGATGGAAGTCTCATTGACTTCCTCCTTCCTCTTATCAAATGTATATTAACTATATTTTTCTTATTTTCTGTATTCTTGATGCTCTGGCTTGGGGTCTCACTGAGGACAGATGGCCCCTCCCGGTGTTAGCCAGGTTGCAGAGATAGCGAGTGATTTCCCCAGAGAGCAACTTTCATATGCAGATGAACCAATCCAAAGCTCCTGGCTGAGCCACCTCCTCTGTTTGGCTTTAATGTTCTAGGAGGCAATACTCTTCTGCCCTTATCATCACAGGGCCAGGTGCCAGATAAATACAGAAAGCTCCTAAAACACTCTCCCACCCGGCCACAGAGCCTGCTGAAATCACTCAAAGTAGCCAGTCTTAAACCTGCTTACCCTGCCTTTCCTTGCCTTCTCCACAGAAGCCACAGTAGAGGCTACTGCCCATGCCTCACCTCGACTTCTGCCTCCTGAGGGCCCCTGGTGCTTCCCCGTGTGGCCCTGCGTGGTGTGGTGAGCCCCCTCCCCCTGGAAACTGTGAGTAACGAACTATGAACGTTAATTGTCTCTTCTTGTCTCTTGATCTATGGGTCTCACCACACCCGAATAGTAAGGTCTACATTTGAAAACAGAGCATTCGACCAAGTCCTAGAGATTTTTTTCTATAAAATAATTCTAAAATGTCCATCTTTATTTCTATTATTATTATACCCCTCATCTTAGATGAGCACAATACACTGTTATTAATGCGTTGCCCAGAGAGCAGACTCACCTCTTCCAGTGTCTCAACTCCACCAATCCATCCTTTATCCTGAAATTAAAGCAATGTTTCTAAAATGCAAACTGACTTACCATAATAATAACGTCATAATAATATTCTGAGGCTGTGCACTGCCCAGATAAGCTTCTTGGTCTACCCCCAGCCCACTACACATATACACCGCGCCCCCCCCACCAACATCTACTTCATAAGAAGAAGACTGTGTGTTATTTCAGGCCAGGCATAACTAGACTTTGTTACTAGGACACAGCACTTAAATGAATAGAGTAATATACATGTGCAATGGCACAAATCCTTTTTCTTCTCATTAGAAAGAAAACCCTTTGACAGTGAAGATGAGGCCTAAAAGAGTGTTCAAGACAATCTCCTAGGCTATGTTTTATGAGATATTACTAGATGCTTAAAGAATTTATGAAAGAACCTTGTAAAGATGTTTCCTTTTCATGGGATTACCACCCTATTGTTTACTGACCTTAATCAAAGATACCTTGGTTCTATGCACCTCTTCCAGAAGACAGGCTATGTATCAAATACAAAAGAGAAACTTTAAGCCCTGGGTTATCAAATCGTATTTGATTTTGTTGATGAAACCACCACTGCAGTTTTACAATGAAATAAGACACTGGTGATTGGCTACGACCGTGAGCCCATAATTTCCACTGCATTACAGTAGTAATTACACCTTGGGCGCCATGTAGAGACTCAGCCAGGGCCATGGGCAACGACTTGGTTTTCTACCTTCTTCATATGGAACGAGGTCAACTCAGAACCAATCATCTTGAGTCAGTGCAAGAATCCTATCTTCACCTGCACTCTGGAAAACATATTCAATATTGACAGGTACAGCATACTCAGTAATAAATAACGAAAAAACAAAACTGACCTGTGTTAGATGAGGCTAATTGCTGTATTAACCTCCAAACTTTCGTGACTTAACACAATAAAATTTTATTTCCTGCTCATGAAATTCTCAGTGAGGATACTCCTGGTTGGAGGCACGCCAACAATGATTCATGGATCAGGCTCCTTTTTATTTCATTCTGCTGCCATATTCAACATACAGCCTCTAAGTCTGCTGCAGAATGTAAGAGCATGGAGAAGACATAAAGGTGTTGACTGCCTCTCTCTAGAGCTGCCACGCGTCATCTCTGCCCTCATTCCACTGGCTGGAACTAGTCCCAAGACCACATCCAGTTTCAAGGGCTCTCTCTATCCTGAGTTTCAAGCCTCTTACTCCCACCCAAAACTCACACACACATGCACGCACACAACCAAGCACAGAGTCACTGATGGGTAACACTTCACAACCCCAATTATATTCTGTACTATGAAAGGCACCACAAACCTTTGTTGTTGATCAGTGGGTTTTCTGCGTCACCTTGTGTGCTGGAGCACCTATGAAATGAAGAAAAGGAAATAATGAGTAAGCGAACAACGTAGCCTGGCTCAGAGAAAAGAGACCTCCTTAGTTTGGCATATCTGAAAACTAAGTCTGATTCTATCCAACAGTTCTAAGTTTCCCATTTTTTCACAGAATGTGTCTTGTAGATGACAATATATTGCAATTATAATTGGTGGAGTTTTTTTTTTCTTTAAAAGTAGCAAATTAAGTAATGGTACTTTTTACAGTCAATGGTATCTTATAGTCAATGAAGAAAAGTTTGTCACTAAGAGGAGGAAGAAACACAGGCTCTGTTCAAGAACAAAAAGGAAACAAATGGTTGAACAGAAAATAAAGAGATTTGCTTCCTAAGGACACCTTAGAGCATATACTAGACTAACATGTATTTTACATCTAGAAAGGGAACTAGAATCTCAATGGTTCCTGTTTTGACCTGTGCGAATCTCCCTTATCCTTGGATGCCCATTACCAGTTGTACCTATTAACATGCCATGGACCAGTGTTCTGTGATCTATAGTATGGAATCGCTGCTCTTAAACAGAGGCGTAGAGGGTACCGTATTCTCCTAATCCACGTGACCAGACTTCCTGTCTCTAGGGCTGGGTCCTCATGGTAAGCACTGCCCTGTACATCACAGTATCTTTCTCCCTAACACTCCTGGTGCCTGGGGCAAGTGCGTGCACCCCTACAGGGGCTATTAAGGCAAACAGACTCAGTAACGCCTACTTCTTCCCAGCCCAAAATGTGTGTGATGTTTCCTGTTTTATTTTAAAATTACATTGAATTCCCCATGTCTGTATTATCCATCCTTACCAGTAAAATTTAAACTCCATGAGAGTAGAGGGTTGGTTCAGTGTTCACAGGTATTGAGTGCACAGGTAGGTGCTCAGTAAATACTTGATGAATGAATCAACGAATATCTGAATTTGTTCTCACTGTGTAGCTGGTATTTTGCACTACCTGTCATCTGTAACTCTCTTATAAGATAAGTGATTGTTCTGGGGCTTTTCTTTACTTTTGTACCTCCTAATATTCCTTGGGATTACCTGTGCCCCAAGTTAAGCTACAGAGAGAGGCAAAGACTCATAGCAAGTGGATTGGGATGAAGGCCCTTACTGTAGTAAACTCCATCTTTTACCAGGGGTAGAAAAATTCCCTCTGTCTCTGTCAGTCATGAACCTGAGGCGGAAGCTGGTTCATTATGACCAAGAGACTCTTGTCTCTATTCTGTCTCCATACTTCCCCAATTTCCCAGTGATTCTTTGCTGGTCCAGTCAGGCCAAGGAAAAGCATGCTGTAATGTAGAGAGGATTATTTTTAAAATATTGAATTATTTTATTTACT